GCGATGTTCTCATTGGCTTTCTAGCCGTTCTTCTTTTTCTCAACACTTTAAGGGTTGGCAATATTTGCACTCTCAAAACTCACTCTTACGCCATAGCCGCCGCTTTAAGATAGGATTCAACAATCTCCTGTGATTTTCATCTGGGAGAACCGAATGAATTTAAGAGTATCCTTTATTGGACCATCTTCAAAGAAGAAGACGCCAATTCTTCTGAATCTCTCGAGATCAAGAGATGTCAAGAAGTCTCAGTAGTATATAAAGATCCTTCATATTCATCAAGTAACGCAGACTAGCTGCTTATATACATGTATGTTCTTTGCCATATGTACAGTTGATAAAAATATGGTCCAATACTCCTCCTCAAGGAGGAGTGTGGAGGTTACAAACACCCATCTTGACAAGAAATTCTTCAAATTCTCTTACGACCCAATGCCTTTGTCATAATGTCCGCGAGCTGTGATTTAGTGGAGACGTGTTTTAGTTGCAATCGTGGCTCGAATGAAATGGCAGTCATTACGACATGTTTTGTGCGAGCATGATAAATCGGGTTTGTGGCTAGTTGAATGGCCGACAAACTATCTGAATGTATAACGATGAGAGCATCACAAGCGATTCCCATTTCTGGAAGTAACCCACGAAACCAAAGGAGTTCACTTACGGTATCTGCCATTGCACAATACTCTTGTTGATGTAAGATGTACACCCTAAAGTAGTTGATGACGTAGTTGCTAAAGAAGACGTCGTGTTGAGTGGTGAAGACCATGTGAAGTCAAGATGCTGAGCTGGAGTCGTGTAGACTTGGAGAGCAAGGGTGTATCTTGGAGAAAAGGCAAGATAAATAAACTTGAGAAGCAAGTTTATGACTTAAGGAAAGAGGAATAAGTGCACTCCAAGAAAAGGAAAGCTGCACTAAATGTTATGGAATATGTACATATTGTGGTCCTTGGAGACTAGAGTTTCAGGAACATGGAGAATAACTATAAGATAGTTATGGTGGCGTCTGTAAAGAGACACAAACACAAAGGTTGATCTTATAGAGAGAGAGGGAAGATCTTAGAAGTGTTCTTGGGTCGTGCTGAAGCAGTGGCTGAAGTACTTGACGGTAGAGTGGCATAAGTGAGTAGCTTATGAATCTTTCAATGACGTGTGTAAGGGTGTTAACACTAGACGTGTAAATCTGAATAAACAAGGTCTTGTAGGATTGTTTAAAGGCGATTTCTAATAAAGCTATTGGTGTTTTGTCTCTTGGTTTATCTTCTGCATTACTATATTGTGGTGTCATCTTTGCACTTACAATTGGTACCAGAGCGGGGCACCAAAGTTAACGGTGTAATCCTGAAAGTGAAGATGGACACGATTATTTCGGTGCAGAAGGCAATCATGTTTAACGCGGACCAATATGGTCTTTGGAAGGCTCGCATGAAGCAGATGATTCGAGGAATCAATGAAGATGCGTGGACAGCTGTGGAGAGTGGTTGGGAGGAGCCTACCATAGTCACAGGAGATGAGAAGAAGCCCAAGCCAAAAGAATATTGGTCAGAGGCAGAGCGCAATGCATCAAAATATAATGCAAAGACGTTGTTAGTGATTTTTGGAGCCGTTGAAGTAGAGCAGTTCCAGTTGATTCAAGGGAGGCGTGGGAGATCCTACTGAATTCGTTCGAGGGAGATGAGAGTGTCAAGAGGACACACCTAGATCATCTTGGGTCGCATAGTTTGAGAATCTCAGATGGTCTGATGTTGATTCTGTGGTGAGCTTTAGTGTCAAACTCAGTGCTATGGCGCATGAAGCATTTGTACTTGGCAAGAAGTACAAGGAGAAGAAGCTGGTAAAGAAGTTACTACGCTGTCTTCCAAAGAAGTTTGAATCTCACAAGACAGTCTTGCAGATGACTACGAACACAGATGAGCTCAAGTTTGATAAGCTTGTGGGTATGTTGAAGGCACAAGATATGGAGACAGAAAGTAGTTCAGTCTCTACGTCAGGCAGTGCGCCAGGGAGTATAGCACTTGCACCTGACAAAGATGGTGATAAATTCCAGAAGCTTGAAGATACTGTGGGTATGTTGGCTAGGAATTTTGGTAGGGCGACGAACTCCTCTGGTGGGAGGAATCAGTATGGTCGTCAAGGAGGTGATCGTGGCAATAGTAGAAGAAGAGATGCTATCAAGTGTTACGAGTGTGAAGGAGTTGGTCATGTGAGGGCTGACTGTCCTATGGCACAACGAAAGGAACTTAATTGTTCTGAGTGCAGAGGTGTTGGACACACAAGGCGCGAATGTCCAAACTCAAAGAAGGGAAAATGAGTACAGTCCTCTGATGTTTCAGAGTTTGAAGAAGATGAAAAGGTGGTAAAGAATATGGTTTCATTTGGTGCACGCAAAGAGGTAGCTAGTGAATCATCGGTTTCAGATCGCAGTACAGATGATGAGGAGTATCACATGCTGCTCAACAAGTGGTTGAAGCTCAAGGATGAGAATCTGAGATGGGAGAGTGTGGCTCAGAAACAAACCAAGTTGCTTGAAGAAGTGCTTGAAGAACTTGCGACTGTGAAAGAGAAGAACGAGTCTCTTAAGCAAGAGAATTGGAAGCTTAGAGGAGCTAAGAGTACTGGCGTGAAGTAGTTGATGACATAGTTGCTGAAGCAGACGTCGTGTTGAGTGGTAAAGACCATGTGAAGTCAAGATGCTGAGCTGGAGTCGTGTATACTTGGAGAACAAGGGTGTATCTTGGAGAAAAGGCAAGAGGAATAAACTTGGGAAGCAAGTTTATGACTTAAAGAAAGAGGAATAAGTGCATTCCAAGAAAATGAAAGTTGCACTTAATGTTATGGAAGATGTCCATATTGTGTTCCTTGTAGACTAGGGTTTAAGGAATATGGAGAATAACTATAAGATAGCTATGGTGACATCTGTAGAGAGACAAAGACACAGAGACTGATCTTATAGAGAGAGAGAGAAGCTCGTAGAAGTGTTCTTGGGTTGTGATGAAGCAGTGACTGAAGTACTTGACGACAGAGAGACATAAGTGAGTAACTTAGGAATCTTTTAGTGACGTGTGTTAGGGTGTTAACACTAGAGGTGTAAAGCTGAATAAACAAGGTCTTGTAAGATTGTTTAGAGGAGATTTCTAATAAAGCTATTGGTGTTTTGTCTCTTGGTTTATCTTCTGCATTACTATATTGTGGTGCCATCTTTGCACTTACAACTCTGCCTCGGCAGACGATCGAGAAACAACATCATGCTTACGTGTTTTTCAAGACATCAGAGAACCTCCTAGTTGGATGAACCATCCCGTGAGGGAACGATGAGTGGTCTGGCAAGAGCCTCAATTTGCATCACACCAAGCTGTAAGCTTTAACTCAGTATTCTCTCTAAAAAGTATTCCCTGTCTTGGGCCATTCTTTAGATAGCGAATCACACGAAGAGCAGCATCCCAATGTTCTTCTTGTGGATCATTCATAAAGTGCAACAATATATGAATAACATACGCGGAAACGAGACTGGTTAACCCCGAAAAGACCAGTTTCTGTGATAAAATCCAGAACATACTTTCGTTGACACATGTAAATTCATGTGGGGCTGCGAGCAACTTCAATTCCCAAAAATATCTCAAGTCATCCAAATTTTCATATGAAATTTCGTACTCAAATACTGCTTGAACTCAGAGATGATCACCACAGAATTTCTAGTGACGATCAAGTCGTCGACGTACACAACTCTTTCAAAGCAGTCGCAAGTTTAGCAAACCAGCATTGAGGCGCTTGCTTTAAACCATATAGCGATTTTCTCAATGACATACCTTCATTTTGTCGTTCGTACGAAATCCAGGTGGAAACTACATATACACTTCTTCTTCAAGATCTCCATGAAAAAATGCATTATGAATGTCTATTTGGTGCACTTTCCAATCCAAAGCTGCCGCTTGCTCAAGGAAATTTTGAACTGTAACCATCGTGCAAATGTCTCATTATAATCTATGTCTTCAGTTTGATGATTTCCAAACACTACCAATCGAGCCTTGTATCGTTCAATTGTACTGTCAGCCCTGAATTTAATTTTAAATACCCATTTGTAACTAAGTGCTTTCTTTCCTAGAGGAAAAGCTTCGAGTGTCCATGTACTTTGATACTCAAGAGAGACGATTTCATGGGTTAATGCAAACCATCATTTTTCATCTAAGATCACTTCTGCGTAAGTTTTTCACCAGCGTGCTGTAATTTTTTCGCAAGTATATGATTACTACGAAATTTGAACACTGCATACTTTCTTTGGTCCAACAGTAGGAAAAAACGACGGGACTCACTAGCGAATCCACCATGGTTTACTTAAAGAAGGGCCAGGAGGTACCTTTACACCTGATGGATCGTACAGGTCAACTGTTACAAAAAATAGTTTGTACTTTTGGTTGCCAACGTTACTCAGGAGTCAGGACCTTCTTGACAAAAGTCAAGGTAGATTTTCTAATATCCCAATATCCAAAACTGGTGGTCTCAGGCATTCTTCGGCGTGTATTTTACTGTGGCTACTTTTTCTTAACATACAATCCCCGAATACATTCTCTCTGTTAGTTTCATCACCTCTGCTTTCAGCCGCAGCGTTCAAAAAGTACGGCAACAAAGACAAAGAAAAAACAGAATTGAAAGTCAAAACAACGCGGATTGAATGTTGGAGAGAAAAAAAAATTGACGCCAGTGATGTGGAGTGACGCTAAAATTTTCCGCGTCCATTTTGTTTGTTGTTAGCTACCGCAACGTCTGGAAATCAAGTGGATGGTGCTTCACCGGCGTTTTGTCTGTTGTTAGCTACCGCAACGTCTGGAAATCAAGTGGATGGTGCTTCACCGGCGTTGAAAGGCTTAATTATTGACGCTGCTGCTAGACGTGGCGGTGACAAAACGAACAGAGCTATTATGGGCATTGTGCACTATATCAATTAATAAAACTTGACGCAGCATGGACAAACAACCAGGAAAGGAAGACATGAACATATTTAAACCAAAAGAGCAAAATAAAAGAGTCTCAAAGGCAGCTTTTTAAGTAAATATGACCTAATGATTTTCGTGCATAAAAACTAAAAACAGCATCAATTCGCAAATAATTCATATAGATCATCCAACGAAAATCCAACTAACATGATTTAAAGCAATTCCAGCTTTACACACAAAAGCCTTACATTTCCATTGGAGCCACGTCTAAGTCACCTGAATCACCACCACCCTGTTCTGCTGGTGCAGCAGCAGCTTCGGCCTCACCTTCCTCTTCCTCTGCTACTTTCTCAAATGTGTCAATCACCTTCTGTATAGTTTCCTGGTCCAAGAAGTGGAATGGTTCACCGACTCCTAGTACAGATACCGTGCAGAGAGAACTCTTGAGTGTTTCTCCTTGCAGCGTCTCCCTAACAGCCAAGATAGCATCTTTTATCAGATCTTCTCTTGAGGACTCCTCAAAGCTCTCAAACCTGCGTTCCAGATAGGTCTTTGCGGCCTGTGAACGGGACCCAATAGCAAAAGCTTGATACTCGAAATAGTTTCCACTTGGGCAGTTGTAGTAAAGGTGGGCTCCAGACTCATCCAATCCACCTACCAACAAACCCACACCATAGGGCCGTTTCCATGAACGCTGGGTACAGACCTGTTCATAAAGAGAACAAAACACAGTTATTCCTATTTGCAGATCGTTAAGAATCACAAAAAAAAAAAAAAAAAGCCTTGCTAACGATGATGAAAAAATTATTTTAAGGTAACTTAGTATCGACTAGTGAAATTTTTTCATACTATTGAAAGTAAACCAACTGAAAATAAGAGAATGAGGAAAATCTAAAATTTTCCAGTGGCCTTGTCAAAGATCAATAGTCCGAAAAATGGAATACATCAGTCTTTTATACGTCATCAAAAGTGAGATGTTGCATACAATAATAGGCCAAAATGTTTGTCTGTCGCATTTGAGTGTCAGCATCAAGGCTTTGATTTGAACTACCACGAGTTTGCAGAAGCCAGAAAAAATATTGTATAATATGAATAGTGCTACTATCATTAGTTACCACCATAAGCAAACCGCAACAAGAAGCAAAAGAGAGAGAGACCAAATCAGTTTGCTTATAAATGATCTAAACCCACTTTTTTCAGTTGAGGAGATTCCAAAGTGAAGCAGCAAGAGCAAGAAAATCCAAAAGAGATTCACAGTTTCCAAGTGTGAAATAAAAAGCATTAATGCAGTGGTGAATACAACAGCCAATGTTAAGAGAGGAAAACTTAAAGGTAAAGCAGAAGTGAAATGAATTATAAACAACTTGTAAGACAACATAGCAAATGGCCACAGAAGCGAGGGCTATTTAACACCAAGTAAAGCCAGTAAATGAAAACAAAGACCTAAATCCACTTATTAATTGAAACGACACTCAGTTGTCTTAATAATGACTACAAAAGAAGAAAAAGAAGAAGTAAAAGAGAAGCAAAATTATTTTTCTGGAATCATACTGCTAATTTAAATGTTTTAAAAGACATGCTCTTCGTAAAGATTAAGCCTTTTATATCCAAGATAATGCAGCTGACAAGAAACATGCGACCTAACATGAACTGAGTTTCTAGGACACTCAGTCTCAGCTAAACCAAGGAGGAGTCTCTTAATCAGCTCAGATCAATATTATATGTGCTCTTAAGCTCCTGATTTTAATTCCAAACCCACTAAGAATCATCATAAAACACATTGCGTGAATTTGTAGCTCAGTGAGTCACGAAGTCAATTAATACTTTCATTTAAGCTCTTAATTCCAAATCATCACACAAACTAAGAATCATTTGCAAAAGAATCCAATTACAGAAGCTAATGTGCCAATTACTTAGCTAACCTGGGCCTTATCAGCAAGATGAACAACGAGACGACCAACCGGAAGCGGAGACTCGTAGGTGAAGGAGTGATTGATCGACTCCGATCTCATATAACGGGAGAGAACACGTCCGTCAGCTGTGAGCCCAGCTATCGCGACGCCTATGTGGTCATCCACTTTGAAGATCTTCTTCTGATGAGAAGAGAGCTCAGATTGGGCTTTGTTCACGCATGCGAGGACCACATGGGTGCGAGATCTGAGTCCAATTGCGGCCGAGCCTTGCTTCACTGCTTCCATGGCGTATTCTACTTGGAAGAGTCGACCTGTTGGGCTCCATGTCGTCACGTCTGTGTCGTACTGATTCCTGAACATCTTCTTCTTGTTTTCTTTGATGCTCTCTTGCTCTTTCTCTTTCTTTTCCTTCAAGCCATGTCCTTGCTCTTTGATCTAACTGAACACATGGGCTTATATTCTTTAATGGGCTTAATTTTTATGTTAGGCTTTAAATTGGCCTTGTGGTATAAAATTTTAGAAAACCTACATTCATAAACCGACTAGGTCTAGAGCTGGGAATATGAGTGATCATCCGCGGATCCCGCCCCGTTTGACCCGCTGCGGGGCGGGTGCGGGTTGAACAATTTGAAAAAGTCGATTGGCGGGTGCGGGTGCGGGTTTGAGTATTTTATGCGGGGCGGGTGCGAGTTGGTGAATTTTTAATCGCGGGTACCCGCCAACCCGCAAAATTTTTTTTTTTCATTTTTTTTTAAATTGTGTTTTCTTTTGTTAGAAAATAGTATTTTTTTGGAAAAATAATTATATTTTTAAAAATATTACGGTATTTTTTTAAAAAATAATAATTAAAAAATTTGAATATATATAATTTTTTTATAAATATATTATTTTTATTACTTTTTCATAAAAAATAAATTAAATAATTATTTTTTTTAAAAGATATATAACCCGCAGGTCCCGCGGGTTACCCGCAAAACTAAGCGGGGCGGGTGCGGGTGAAAATTTATACGGTCGCGGGTTGTGCGGATCGGATTTTTTAACAAAAAAAATAACTAAAATCCGCGGTTGGCGGGTCAGCGGGGCGAGTTTGACCCGCAACCCAGCCCTCTAGGTCTGGGCATTTTTCCCTGACCTGGAAATCTGAATCGGAATTGATCTGATAGTACCTGACCCAAAACCAAACTGAAAAACTACAAGTATCTAGTTGAGTATTCTACTCGAAGAATCATAACCGATCCGAATAAATCTGAAATCGAAAATAACCGATCCAAATAGATCCCACAAGATAAGAACTGATTCATACCTGACCAAAAAATGAATATCCAAAATTATGATTTATATGTTCTATTTTCTATATTTTAGTTTATGATTTACTTAAAATGTGTTTTGTTGACAATCTTTATTATTATTTTTGTAACATTTTAAGTGATATGAAACTTTAAATGTAGAATTTAGAGTTTTAATTTTTTTTTATTTAAAATATTATTATTTCATTTTTAGTTATTTGTAAATTGTTAGATAAATATGATAAATTCCGGCTAAATTTGATGAGGTTTGGGTGTTTTGTATCTTTTTCGAATCATAAATACCGAACCCGATTCAGACCCATGAATTACCGATATTTTACATATATTTTAATTGTAGATCTGAATGACTCCGAAGGAACCAACTAAACCCAAACAAAAAAAAATTTCAAGTATCTAAATTTGATTAGATAGTAACATTTTATCTCCTAGATATTATTTGCAAAGTGATTTATATATGTGGCATCACCACATTCATTCTCAACAAAAAAAGAATAACATGTCTTTAGAAAAATTGACATAACATCATCTTAGTTATCACATGTATTAATTTCCGTCATAGAGATTTTTATCTTTGACAAAGTTATTTTAAATATGGTGATGACTAATTACTCTTATACCATTGCTAAAGTAAACTTTTCACTAAAAATTATTTACAAAGTGATTTGTACATGTGTCATCACCAAATTCGTTCTCAACCAGAAAAAGATGACATGTCTTCATAAAAATATGACATGGCATCATTTTAGTTGTGACATGTATAATTTCATTTATAAAGATTTTTACTGTTGACAAGGATATTTTTTTGTGTGGAAGTCATGTAGCCTAGTGGTTAAGCTTTAAAAGCTTCTACACCAGATCTAGGGTTCGAATCCCAGACTATGCAGTTTCTACACCAGGAGGGTTTCAATTCTCGGAGAAGGTGAATGGCGAATTATGCAGATTGGAGAAAAAACTTACAAGAGATCTTTAGCATGACGCAAGACATACCGTCAGGAATAGACCTCACAAGGCGACTCAGGGTGATGCAGTTAGACGTGAATCCACATAAGGCAGATAGAATTGCCGGCTCTAAAATCCTCTATGTTTCTCATAGTTTATAATGCATAATTATCCAGTATTAAAAAAAAAGACAAGATTTTTTTTAAATATGGTAATAATTAATTAATATTATATCATCATTAAATTAAATTTTTCTATATGAATATTAGTTTTGGCATCAAATTACACACACACACACACACATATATATATATATATTAATAGCAAATAACTCATATCACCATTTAAAAAATAGCTAAGTACAATTACCACTAAATCTTACATTAAGTTATATGGTAAGTTTCCTAAAACTCATACAAAATCTTTATGAACTTTCCGTCACGAGATCTCTTTTCTCTAAGGTGAATCTCTTCATGTTTGTTTTTCAAATAGTCATTGCATTAATTCTAACTTGATCGCCAAGCATTCTTCAAGTTTTCATCTTATTCATCCGCATGCATATTCACGATTGTAGACTCTGTTCCATTCGTTGTTACACTTGCATTTGTATCAAAATGTCCACCAGATCTTTATACCTACATATGTCTCCTCTTTTCTTTGTCGTTTTCTCTTCACTGGGTAACAATGCTTCCTCACGGGTTCTTTAAGAAAACAATGGCACGAACGCAATATAATCATTTGTGTTCTTTAGTTGTGAACTCAGGAATTTGCTTTTTAATATTAGTCAAAAAAAAAAAGTTGATAATGACGAAACTGGAAAAAAAGCAACAAAGCTGTTCATTTTCCAGATTATTTTAAAAAGTGTTTTTCAAGAGTTGTAAATTTGTAATGACTGTTTTTGACCAATATATGTGTCTCTCTCACTTACGTGTACCCATATCTTTTGTCGTTGACCATTAATGGATCAAGATGTATAGGTGCATAATCAATTACGAGTTAAATAAGCATAAATGGGAACACAATTTGTGATTAGCTAAGCTTCGACAAAGTCCATAATTGGGAGCCTTGAATACTAGCAGAAAAGCACGCACCTAACAAAATTCGTAAAAATGTCGGTGTGGCCGAGATCAGAAGACCCATTAAGAAAGTGCAGGTCCCGTTTATTCGCTGAAGATTCATAAACTCTACCAAGCTAATTTTTCATCTAAAAATTCTCAACTTACATAATTCGGATGAACTATAAGAGATCCAATGGAAGAAAAAACTCCAGTAAAATTGGTACTTTTAAGTTTTGATTTACGTACTCTTTTCAGATATTTTTATTTAATTTTGACTAAAAATATCTTACTTTTATTTAAAAAATTAGAAAATATTTGTAAGAATATTTTGGACTCTAACATCTTATTATATATAGTTTGGTTCTTCAAAGTTATTAATTAACAAGATTGTGACACATGAAATCTTTTTTATGTTCTTTTATACTTAAACTGGTGATAATTTTTATTGTTGTTATATTTGTCATGCTGGCGTACATTAGTTATTGCCATAGTTATACTTAGGTGTTTGTATGTAGTATAGATGTTTTGATATCGTATGTAAGTTAATGTGCATATTATGCTTATGTGTGTTTGTTTTATAAATGCTATAAAATTAGTTATTCTATTTATTTATTTTTTGAATTTCAAATTAGTTATGTTGTTGTAGCTAAGTTAATATCAATGTTACCTTTATGTACTATAGTGCTTATGTCTATGTCTGATTATTAAATTATTTAACTTTCAATTTCTTTTCACTCTAATATTAATTTGAATTGGATTTTGTTTAAATTTTTAGGTATGAGTATGTTCTCTGCTCTTAGGTACAAAATTAAAAACAAATACTTATGTGCGAGGATTATTAAAATAAAAATATTAACCATAATTTATGTGGGTAAAAAAATCCCAAATTCTGAAATAAATCTCGCACAACATATACAAAAATAATCTTAAAATATAAAATCATTTCTTATTTTATATCCTTTGTAAAATTAAAACATCAAATAAAATCCATGCTTATTAAAATATAAATACTAATCGAACATTTATGGAAAAACAAATTCTTAATTTCTAACATAAATCTCACACAACATATGCAAAAGATCATAAAACTATAAATGAATTATTATTTTTATATTTATAAATATTAAAACATTAAATAAAACTCGTGCAACACACGGACCCATATTTAATTCAATATATAATCTTCAGTTTTCGTAATATTTTAAGATAATTTTCTAATTACTTTATAATTGAAACATGTTTAATATATAATATATTTAATTTATACATATGACACAATAAAAAAATAGAGGTGGGTACAATTACTCGTTACTTGGTCCGTTCTTGCTATTTCGTTAGTACTTGACTCGTAAGTTAATATTTGATTTGACTAAATTGAGTATCAAATAATCTATTTAAATAACTTCAAATATAAGCCAAATATCGAGTATAAATATAAAAATAACTAATTAGCATTATTTTACTTGTTACTTGTTTTTGTTAATGATAATACTGTAAATATTTATGTTAGAATCAAAGTATTTTTGTACTATATTTGTTATATAGTATTTTTTTTATTTAAAATTTTATTTATGATATTTTGTAATAGGTATTTTATTTTAGTTTGAAATTTTATATTAAAAATAAAAATATAAACCAGAATCATTATTTCAAATTAAGTTTAATATTTAAAATTATAAAACATATTATAACATTATCACTAAACAACCAAGTTTAATTTCTCATTTTAATATATTTATTAAAACAAATTCCTTTCAAAATCGCATTACTTTTCTATCAAATCTGCAATATTTTTTTCTGTTAAATTTACACTTATCTCGCAAACCACATGATCCATAGTTGCACCGTACTGCACTTTGATTCTGCTGGTCTCGTAATATGCATTGCGCGAAAAAAATTTGCGATTAGTCATATTAAAATTTCTCGAGATGTAGAATAAATCACATGTCACATCAACACGCAAACAAACATAGTCATTATCCCTGAGATGTAGCACAAGTGTATATTTAGTGGGTACATCTTCTTACTTGTGATAGTCAGTTATTTTTAAGCAAGTATTTCTCTAACCATTTCAGAAAATGTAAAAAACCATCATT